AGTTGTGGGGACTTGGTGCATGTGTCGGCTGGGAGAATGTCCCTTCTTGCTGGTTTGTGGCCTTCCTCTCCTGGGAGAAGAGCGACCCCTAGCGGCTTGTGCTGGGCAGCTGCATGCAGACAGTGTGTTTGATTCTTGCCTGGCCGCTGTGGAAGAAGCTCTTCCTGGTTGCTGTGGGCGTGGCCACTGCCTCTATGGTGGGGTTGCGCTGGAGGAGGAATGGGTGGGAGGTTGTTTATCACTGTGAGGGGCCTCCGAGCTGCACTGCCCAAGGGGTTGGGGTGCCTGGAGTTCCCCGGGATTTCCAGTTACTGGGCTGATTGCGCCAGGGTGCTTCTGTTCATGTGTGGGGTCCATGTCCCTTCAAGATTTTCAAAGGGCACTCGCTTTTCTTTGTCCCAGGGGCACCGGCTGTGGGGACCCGCTCTCAGGTCTTACTGTCCTGTTTCCCTAGTATCCAGCACACCACGCACTGTGTGTCTGCACTCCGGTGCGGATGGCTAGGGCTGGCCATTTAGCAATCCTGGGCTCCCTCTCCCTCCCTGCTCTGACTCCTCTCCTCCTACTGGGAGCTAGGGTGAGGGGTGCTCAGGTCCTGCCGGGCCGCGGCTTGTATCTTACCCCCTTCACAAGGTGCTGGGTTCTTGCAGGTGTGGATGTAGTCTGGCTGTTGTCCTCTGTCTTCTGGTCTCTCTTTTAGGAATAGTTGTATTTGTTGTATTTTCAAAAATATATATGGTTTTGGGAGGAGATTTCCACTGCTCTACTTATGCTGCCATCTTGAGAGTCAGTGATCAGTAGATTTTTAATTAGGACAACATCTTGTTTCTGACTGAAATACTTCAGGTGGGTTCCAGTTTTGTCCAGCTCTATTATCTGATCATGGTGAGAATTTACTTTACTTGAGAAGATCTTATGTTCATCCATTTCAAATAAGACTGTGTCCAAGATAAGACTTGGCTGAGAAGCTACATTCAGGGTCTGTTCAGCCTGGGTAAGCCAGTTGGTAAAGTCTTGGAGAGAATTGTGGAACTCCAATGCCAAGTTGAGGGCCTCTTCCAGTTCAGTTTTTCTTTCATTGAGTTTAGTTTCCACAGATTCCCATTTTTCTTTTAAGTTATTTATGTCTTGGTCAATATTTGTCTCTGCAGATTTGGGGCATCTTGGAAGCATCTGCTGGTGTTTCTGCATCAGGCTTCTATATGGTTCTTCTTTAACATCAAAGGCAGCACAGTTTTCCATGTGGGCATCAGCTGCTCCCTGGCTGTTTCTGGCATACCTCCCAGAGGCTTGGATGCTAACAGATGATGCTCTGTGTCAGTCAGCCACTGTTGCAACCCCTCAATTTCACCATGGAAGCTTTTGGCCTGGCACAAGCCACCATCCAGCTGCTGCTTCCTTTGCTGTTTTTTCCAAAACATTTTGCCAGTGTTGATTCAAAACCTCCAGCTTGTTCTGAAGGTTGTTTGCTTCTTCACCTGCACTTGATTCAATTAGATCATTTACTGCTTTGTTAACAGCTTCGACAGTGGACTGATGGGCTAATACATCATTTTGAAGCACATGGTGCTTGGCAAGTTCAATTGCGATGGCTTTAGGGTCTCCTTCTACAGGTTTCTGTTCACTCAGCATGCCCTCAGTGTGAGTCAGCAAGGCCAACAGTTCATGGAGAGTGTGCTGGAACTTCCCCAGTGCTAACAGAGCACCCCCCAGCTTATGCTGTTGATTGATAATTCTCTCATTCAGACTATCCCATACTGATTTCAGTTCCATTAATGAGTCTTGAATAGTGCGTTTGTCACTCTCTTCTGCTACTTTCTTCAGCAGAAGCTCTGTTTGGTGGTTCAGTCTTTCCATTTCTATCTGTTGTTGGTAGGCCTCTGACTTAAATTACTTTTTTTTTTAAAGAGGGATATAGAAGGACACTTTGTTCTTTAGCTCTTCAATCTGCTGCTTGACAACAAAGTCAAGTTCTGTTCCAATTGGAGACATTGAAGCTAATTTACCACCTGCAATATCCACCCACTCAAATATTGCCTGCAGGCCATCCTGGTACTGAACAGCAGCCTGCATTGCCTCCTTGAGTTTGTCCACCCAGTCTTTATTTAGAGAATCCCATGCTGAATGTAACTCATCTATACTCTTCTTGACAATGGGTTTATCTGGTTCCCCACATGCAGCGATGAGTTCATAACCCAGGTTGATAACTATATCCAGCTCTTCCTGCAGCCCATCTATTTCTTCCCTCTTGGACTCTGCTGCTTCTTGCTGTTGTTTTATCACTGAGTGATTAATGCCAGGATCCTCAAGATCCCAGATGAAATCTTGTGCATCTTTAGTGGTAAGCACCAGCGACAGGTGATCACACCAGAACTCTCTGCTAATTCCATTATATCCAGTAGTTTGGCTTCCCTTCTTCCACCAGCGTGTGTTATGTTCTCCCAAAAGAAAGCCATTCTTTCAAGCTTATACTGAACAGCTTTGGCAGATACGTCTTTGTCAGTGCCCCCAGAGCAAGCAATCATTTCCTCTCCTCTCTGTTTAAGAGTTTCATACAATGGTTGTAGGTTCTCCATGTCTACTGACATGTTCTTATTTTCGCGGATCTGTTCCTTAATCTTCTCACCCTCAGCAGAGATAGAAGGCAGCTGCCTCAAAAGCTCCATGATGCATTCGAGGCTCTCCCAGACCTGGTCGATCTTGTCATGGAACTGCTGTGACCTCAGAAGGGCAGCGTCGATCTCCTCCACCTTCTGAATCATGGTGTCTCTCGTCAGATGGTAGTGGTCATTGTCCTCGGCCACCATTTTCTCAAGCCCTTCCCTGGCCCTCCAGGGCACCAGTTCTAGTAAAGCACTGGTCACTTCATTAAGGGCATTCAGTAAGGCTTTGTTGCTCCGGGCTTCCTTCTTCAGCTCTTGTTGTCTTGCTTGGGCTTGGCTTGCCGCTTCTCCCTGCAGGACCTGAATTTCATATGAAAGCAGTTCCACCTGCACTTTGTCCAGCCAGGTACAGAGCTCCTCACGTGTGGAGTGCAGCCGCTATGCCAGCTGCAGCTCATGGTCCAGGGTCTTGGCGACATCTGTGCTCAGCTTAGTAATGTCTTTATACCTTGCTTTAATGGCTTCCAATTTATGTTGAATGATTAAAACTTCATCACCAGTTGTTTGTTTAAGTAGTTCTAAACCATTTAGTAAGACCCGATCTACATTTTGTTTCCTGAATAGGATGTCCTCTTGTAGAACCCAAAGTTCGGGCTGCGGCTCCACAGTCCCTCAGTGCTGTAATCCTGGACTGAGAGTTTGCTCAGTTTGTCATGCACTTTGTTCAGCCAGTTTATCAGTTCAACTTCATCTTCGTCAAAAATCTTAGCATTACATAAGGCCTGCTGGAGAAGCTCAGACCTGCTGTGACTTTTCTCTTGAATCTCAATGTACCACACTTGAGAGGAGTCTAGTTTATTCTGCACCATATCTTTATCCTCCCTGGAGCTCAAAATCTTTAAGGACTGGCCAATGCTAACAGCCTGATGTAAATGTTTATTGTGATGGGTTGATACCATCTTCTAAGGCTTTGTGCTGGGCCATCTGTTCCTCAAGTTTAGGTGCTTGGGTTCCGATGGGCTCAGAATTTGCCAGCCTCTTTTCTCTGGTTGTAAGCCACTCATTCAGTGGTTCTATGATTTCATGAAATTGCTGTGCTACCATGGAGATACCTTCCAACTGACAATTCCATATCTCAGCTTTATTAAGCAGTGCCTCCCATCTGCTATCCAAGAGACTCAGCTGTTTCAAAATCTTCACTTTATCTGCCGGTTCTCCTGTTGCAGCAATTTTTTCTCCTTCTTGTTTGATTACCTCCACAGTAGATTTGCAGTTATCCAACAATCTTTGGAGAAGCTTTTTCTCCTGTATCTGGGCCTTCACCACTTTGAACTCGGCTGATGGGGGCTTCTGATTGGCCATGAGCTCCTCAGAGTCCACCATCCAGCTGAGCAGGGACTCCAGGGCATCCTGGAACCTTCCACAGTGCAGCAAGGCCTCCTGCAGCTGCGCTGCTCACTGAGCCACATTCTTATTGAGAGTCTTCCACCATGCATTGACTTCGTCCAGGTCATGCTGCAAAGCCTGGGTGCTGGTGTTTTTAGCAGAACTCTGAATAAGGCCTTGACCTAGCCAGTTGACATCTTGCTGTTTAACCTGCAAGGGCTCCGTCTCTTCTTTTTGGAATACCTTGAACACATTAAGCTGCTGGTTAATTGTCTCTGTTTCCATACCAACAGGACCTTGAGACTCTTCATGTTCTTCAGCCTTCTGAAGCAGAGCAGAAAATTCCTTCAATTTGCTGTAGAATTCTTCTAGACAATTGTCTCTTCAACATGTTCTTCTCAGGCTTGGGCTTGGTCCAGTAACTTGTTGCATTGTTTGCTTAAAGCCTCCAAGTCCCTTTTGATTCCAACAAGGTCAGGCAAGGCTTCTTCCATGGCTAGCATCATCTTGCAGGTTTTATTGGCATTGCTGTTGTTCACTATGAGGTTCTCCGGTTTCTTCAGAAAGGCTTTAATAGCCTCCCTTTGCTTCTGCAGAGTTTCTGTATCTCTCCCCACTGGGGCCATGCCATCCAGTTCATCATCAAACTCTGCAGACTGAGAAAACATTTCTCATATGGTATTCTGGAAATGCCCAATGCCCTGAAGCTTGGTTTCTAAAAAGGAACACTTGTCAGCAACCTGATGGCTTAGGGCACTCTGCTCTTGAGCTAAGGTGTCAGCTTGTAAGAGAACATCAGAGGTTCCCTTTGAGTCTGAGGCTTCCACCATGAGGTCCTGTGCAAGTCCTTTGGCCAAATCGACCTGATGCTTCAAGGTCTGAAGTGACTTCTGCTGAGTCTGCAGTGTGGTCAGGTATTTATTACTGTAGGCCTGGGGTCCTAGGGAATTATGGGCCTCCAGCTGTTCCTTTGCATACTGAAGCTGCCTTTGAGCTTCTCTGGAAACTTCTTGAAATTCCTTAAACTTCTGGGCCATGTTCTCAAGAGAGAGTTTCTTACTGTGAAGTTGTTCAGTGACCATGTCTACCTTTTGGATCAGTGACTTATTCTCATCCGTAACAACCTCTTTATCAATCTCACAGACACTGAGCAAGCTATTGGCTGCGTTGTTTAGCACTTCTACCATCCCAAAGGGTTCGTACATCTCCTTCTGCAGAGACTTTAATTTGCCAACAGAATCCTCTGTTTCAGCAGGATCCAAGGAAAATATTATTTCCTGCAGGTCATTCTTGCTGGAGTCCAGCTCCAGTGGGGTGGGTGTGTGTGTGGAGCCTAAAAGGATGAGATGGAGTCAGTGCATGGAGAGACAGGACACAGTCAGATGGAAGTGGTCTCTGAACAAAGTGCCGATGACAGCTTTATTTATACCATTTTGCACAAGGATATGATTATTTTTTATTGTTCTGTTGATTAATTGGTATAGGCAGTTGATTAATAGGTATAGGCAAGCTTTTTTATTTCTTCTTCTTTCTAATCTATTCATGGTTGGTCAAGTGTTAGGTGATCTTTTTCTGTTCCTTGACCGAAACTTTTCCTAGCAACATGTACTCTTTTATGTTTTATGTTTCTATGCAAAGCGGTTTCTAAGTAATGCATGTGACCACAGGAACATGCAGCATGTAGCAGTGACTATGGAGTCTATCAGCTCAGGGTGAAATAGAGGTCACTCACTACTACAGTTAGCTAGGCAGGTATCATCATCTATATTTTTAATGCAATGGGTACATTTTATCCCCTCATAATATTTATTCTATCATAGGTAGATGCAAGATAAAGATAGAAAGCATGATTTAGAACTGTAAGAAGGCAAGTGTATGATCAGGTTTGTGCCTATAGACTAGGTATTAATCCAAGTTAGACAAGGGCAACAAAACATCCACAGGTGTGGAAGATTTCTCTCAGCACTGGGGGGGTGAAGTTCTAAGCCTCACCTCTGTTGGTTCCCATTTTCTTACCTGATGGCCCCCCTGCGACTATGCCTGTCTTAGGTTGTTCCTCCTATGAGGAATCTTACCCATCTCTGGCTAACCAGCCATCTTCCAGGGCCATACAGGGAGATGTAAAGCTGGTGAGAGAGAAGTAATGTTCTTTGAAAATGTTAGCTTTCCACTTCTTTGCAGATTTATGCCCCTTGGCTTCTATGCCCAGCACTTGTCTTGAGGTATTTTTATCACTTGGAAGAATTATGGTACTTGGTAATGTTACATATGAGGCACAAATTCTAGTAAAGGGCTGTAATTAGGAAGGAAGAAGAAAAACTATAGAAGTAGCAGAGGGAAGAAAACATGAGAAGATTGATTAAGTGTCAGACAGGATTATTCCATTCAGTATTCCCCTATAACTCTATTTCTCTAATTTTCCTATAAAACTTCATCACTAATTTCACTAGCATTGCAAACAAGGGAGGCATTCCTATTTAGGTGGAGATGGGGCAGTCAATGTTTGACTAACTGACTGCAGGTTTCGGTATTCTATGCCAAGATCGCCATCTGGCCCTTGTGTGTTCTATTCTTCAGGAGTACTGTCCTGAAAAGCTTTGGGGAAGTTTAGATTCTCGTCCTTTCCATGCTGCTTATCAAAGGTTAGCTTAGTCTTTGGCAAAAATGCAAGCAAAAGCAAAGCTTGCATAATGGAGAGTATAATGGAGAATAACAAAATCAAGGTGGGTAATAGAGGGAGCCAGCTGCAAAGGCCCTTGATTGGTGGGGGTCTTCCTCCAGCCTGAGCTTTGCTACACAGCTTGAGTGGCATGGCTCCCGGCACATTCTGACACCTGTCTATCCATGGCTGGAGAGTCTCTACATGCTCTTTATACTTGAGAGCTTTTTCCAATGCATCTTTTACTTTTTCTTCTCTTTCCTTCACCTGGTTATTAAGCCTGTTCCAATTGGTCTTAATTGTGTTTATTTGTAACTGTAAGGCTGCCTTCTCAGACCCTTGTGTTTTTACTAACAGATTTTCAGCTTCTGTGATGGTTTTTTCATAAATAATAGACTGAGCAGTCAAAGTTTTATTAAAGTCCTTCTGATCTTTAATTAATGACTCCAAGACATCAAGTCTGGTGGATATTGGGTGAGATTTGCTTTGCTCTTCTTTCTTTGTATCCAACCAAGCCTGAAAATCTTGAGACATTCACTGAAATTGATGAGAGCTCGCACAGGCTGACTGAAGGTGCTGAATATGACTCTCTGCTTTGCATTCAAAATCCTTAAATGATTTTAAGATGCCTTCTAGTTGCCTACTAAGCTCTGCCTTCAAGTACTCTTCTTTAACCACTGCTGAAAAATCCTCACAGAGGGTCTGGGTCACTTTTTCAATTTATTTATTTATTTATTTGCTTGTTTGTTTGCTTATTTGTTGGGAGCAAACCTGTGGGCCTTTAGGCAGACTCGGTCACAAAAGCCTTAAGACAAGAGCAACGTTTGAGTAAAGTCTTTCCTGTAAAGTCAGCAACAATGAATCCATCCACGCGTTAGAAACAAGTTTTCCCCTATTACCAAGAAACGCATTTAGTGAACTCCTAGGTTAGAGCTAGTGGTTAGGCTACCTCGCAACATGTGCTTTTTCTGTCCTTTGTTAATCAAGAAACACCCTCTGCCCCAGGGGAAAGCCCCTC